CTGTGGCCGGAATCTAATGCTTCATGGGGAGGCCCAAGAAACTTTGTAGCAGACAATTACGGAATGCCCTGTCCTTAGAGGAACAATGAAAAGTCATAGAAGACGGCATGATGTGGTGGTTAGAAATTGAGTCACCAGATGTAGGCTCTCTCTAGCTCTGCCACTGATGTTGTGACCTTGGGCAAGTCCCTTAACTTCGCCACCTCAGTTTGCCCAAATGGATTTGATCAAAGCTCCCCCTTTTGGGATCCTTGCATGGAAGGTGCACTGAGCCTGCTTTAAGCTGATCATTTAAGCCAGGACCAAGCTGGCAGAATTTCCCTGCTTTCCTGAGTGTGAGTCTCTTCCCGAAGTTATTTTTATGCCTGCGGTTTGCGTGAATGTGTGCGGCACACAATGAGCCGCGTTCGGTTGTTATGGGAACTATGGCTCTAAGAATGTAAAAAGAAAACAAGCAGGGCACATGGGGGGTGAGGGAGATCTTGTAGTTAACAGCTTTCATCACATCCGATGAAGTGAGCTGCAGCTCACGAAAGCTCATGCTCAAAGAAACTGGTTAGCCTCTCAGGTGCCACAAGTCCTCCTGTTCTTTCTGCGGATACAGACTAACACGGCTGCTGCTCTGAAAGCAGCTTTAATAATAATACTTAGCACAGCAGCTGGGAATCACAAAGCACTTTCCCAGGCCGGGCCAGGGTCATTTCACAGAGTGGGAAAATCTAACACTTGGACTGACTCACCCAGGAAGCCAAGGGCAGGGCCAGGCGCCGAAGCCAACTCATCTGACTCTCAGCCCCAACCGACCACACTTCAGGCTTCAGCCAGCCGCCTTTGGCATCAGGAAAGAATTTCTTCCTCCCGATGCACAATTGGTCACATGGATTTTGGAGGGTTTTTTCCCTTCCTGTAAAGCATTAGGGACTGGCCCTGGCTGGAAATGGGGCCTGGAGAGGTGGGTGTGAGATGGTACAGAGCAGGGATCGGCAACCTTTCAGAAGTGGTGTGCCAAGTCTTCATTTACTCACTTTAATTTAAGGTTTCACGTGCCAGTCATACATTTTAACGTTTTTTAGAAGGTCTCTCTCTATAAGTCGAAATATTATATAACTAAACTATTGTCGCACGTAAACAAGGTAAACACACCTTGTTTAGCCCTGAAGGCAAGACCACAGGGGAAGGGAAGGGTGACTAGCCTTGTTTCACTCAGGCACACCAACACTAGCAGGGCATCGAATCCAGATCTACAGCAACCTAGCCTAGAGCTTTCCCATCCATCTGTGGCCTGTCAAGAGCCCAGGGCACTCTTTGCAAGTGTAACAGCATTGACCCAGGTATCCTGACCAACGAAATTCTGCCTGACTCAGTCCCCCATTGATGTTCAATCACAGATATTTTCCTTCATTTCTCCCTCTGACAAAAACGTGGTGTGTAGGGTATCTGGGTGTCCAGAGAGCTCCTCCATGGTTGAGCTGGGCCCTGTGTCTCTCTGGGATCCTGCTGGGTGAAGGGAGCTGTACAAATGCAATGCAGTATTAACTATAACCCTGGCCTTTGCATATACGGGCAGAGCACTCAGAGACATCACAGGCATATTTCCTGGGAGGGGAATGACAAGGATCAGAAGCTGATGTTAGATAACCCTGGGCTGGATGTGCCTATGACTCATGGTATGTCCACACTACAAAATTGTATCAACCTAAGTCACATCGATGTACAGCCACCTCTGTAACTAAATCGCTTGTGCATGTCCACACTACGCTCCTTGTCTCAGTGGTGCACCAGGAGTGCATGCACCAATTTTGCTGCCACGGTGAGGCATTGGGGGTTGGCTTTCGAAAGGCAGCAACAGTTGATGTAAGCAACTCCATGTCTACCCAAACTCACCCAATGGCACGGGGCTACAATGCTGCATGTAACATGCCTGCTTTTGTGAAAAGTGCTAGGTGATCTGTAATGGCCACAAGTGGCCTCTGCATAAGTGTGCCCATTTTACAGGTAGCCCAAAGCCTGCCTGGAGACTTGGAGCATTGTTCCTGCAAGGATAATCCCTAAACACTGCCAAGAATGGATTTAACAATTTGTTTTATTTCAACAAGCTTCTTGTAAGGAGGGCTCCCAGGATGAGTCCGAAAGCCCTGAGCTTGGAGATCTGCATGTGTAGAGACGGCAGCAGACAGAAAACAAATGTAATGGCACAGGGATATTCTTAATACTAGAAAACCCTTGAGTCAGGGACTTTGTCACTAGTTCTCTTTGTTGGGCCAGGTTTGAGGTAATCACCTTAAATCGGTCCATTAGGGATGGACAGTTCCATCTCTGCAGGGAGCTGATGGGAAATGGGGCTCCATGCGGCCCACGCAATGCTCCATCCCTACCCAGCACCCCGCTCTCCTGGGGCTGTACAATCGCACCAGTTCTGCTGCCTAGGAGGAGGGGCTGAATGCGACCCCTTGTGCACTGAGCCAGCCTGCCAACAGCAGGACCCGTTGTGTGATGTCGACACCTGGCTCTGGGCTAAGACATGGTTTATGGAAGAAAAATGACTTAGGGGGGCTAGGCCCTTAGCCTGAGTTTGATTCCCTGTGGGAACCTATGGGGCAAGTCTGTGCCTCAGTTTCCCAGCCGTACAGTGTAGATCAGAGCCCTGCCGTCCTAGGAAGATGCTCAACTACAGTGGTAACAGGTGCTATATAAATAGCAAAAGAGCCACCAGCGGCTCCTTACAGGGGCTGAATTAAAGCAGCCAGCCTGGAGGGGAAAGCCCTGTATCACCATGCCAGTGCCCCGGGTGGGACTGACCCATTGGCTTTGGAAAAATGAAAGCCTTTGGTGCCAGGGTAGATTGCCAGGTTCCACCCCCGCTGTGAAGGTCTAGGGACAAAGGCGGCCAGTTAACACCAACAGGCAGGAGCTCACTGAGGACTTTGCAGTAGGCCTGGGCAGGGCAAGTGTTCACATGTCCTTCCTCTCTTGGGGTGATTTAAATCAATAGCTGATCATCCTGGGGCTGTGAGAATCAGGCAGCAATGTGTTTAGTCAACTTCGTTCCAAATTACGTAAGTTCCTGATGTTTCTCACCAGCCCCTCCCATCTTATTTGCTCTGGTTCCTCCTTAGCAACAAGAGGAGCTGAGCCAGGCGGATCCTAGCTAATGCTGGGGCCGCACAAGCTGTGTTATTCGTGTGTGTGGGGGGGGTGGAGGCGGGATGGTGGTGGTTCTAAACAGAAACCACCCCCAGTGGGCTTGCTGCAGTGAAGTGGTCAGTGGTCATGCCACCCCCCATCAGTCTCAGCCGGGGCCACACCTGCTCGCTAGCTCATGGCTGTCTAAAAGCCTAAAGGGGAATTAGCACTCTTCAGGCTCTGCCCCCGCCCCCACAGGTGGGGCAGAGCAACAAGCAGTCTATGAGGGCTGGGTACTCTGGGTGGGGCCAAGCCACCAGCAGACTATGGATGGGGCCGGGCAGCAAACAGTCTAGGGAGCTCCGGCCCTCAGGCAGGGTGGAGCGACAGCAATCTACAGGGCTCTGTCCCCTCTGGCAGGGTAGAGCTACAAGCAGCCTAAGGCACTGAGGCAGACAGAGGACAAATGCAGGCCTCTTGGCCTAAGGTGGCAGGCAGCCACCCCAGGGGTGGGGTGGGCACAGGGAGGAGGGAGACCCAGGCCCACTGGGTCCCAGCCCAGGGCTGTGACAGTGGAGGAGAGCTCCCCCACTGGGTCAGCTGGGAATCACACCACAACACACTGGCCAGTGTTCTGGCCACACAGCTGAACTATCATCTGGTGTCTGTGGGCTACTTCCTATGACCCTGCTTCAGCGTACCTCAGCTCATGGGCATCTTCTATCTCCTGGGGGTACAAGGCCTGCAGCAGTCCCAGTAGCTCCTCTGTGCTCCCATCGACTGGTTGACCCTGCAGTCCTTCTGGGTCCTCGGTGCTGCAGGGCTTGTCCTCAGGCGTGGGACTCAGCAATAGCCAGGGCACGTCTGTCTCCTTCACCACGTCCCCTCCAGTTGAGCTGCAGGGCCCACCTTTTACACTTCCTCTCCCGCCCCTCTGCTTTCAGTGGGGCAGACACATGGGTGGCCCAGCTCCACCCACCAGGGGGTGGATAGGGTTTCCTCCCAGTCAGTCTCAGACCTGCAGCAACAAGTCTGTTATCTGGAGGACTTGGCAAAGTTCTGGGCTCCTTTGGGGGCATGATCCAAAGCCCACTGAACTCTTTGGGAAGATACTCAGGGACTCCACTGGGCTTTGGCCCCAACTCTGGCAGGGAGCTGATGCACACCCATTGTGGCCATCAAAAGCAGACCTTTAATGATGCAATGTTGCCCACAGCTTACTATTGCTGAGTGATCCTGGTACATACCTGCCCTTTGCATTCAGTACTGGCTGACTGCTGGCTCATTTCATATTCCCTTCTAGGCAATCCTAATGGGACCACCACAAGTCTCCTTGTAAAACCACCATTTTGTTTAGAGTTGCTTCAGGTACAGGAGACAGCATGGGAAACAGTTCTCTTCCTGACTCTGCCACTGATGGGATGTGACCATGGGCAAGTTCTTAACTCCTCCGGGGTAGATTCTGCTAGCGCCTTCAGCATGCTGATTAGTACTTGACTCCTCACTGATTTCAATGGGCCAGTTTGCGGAGTTAGGTTACCGTTAGCAGAACGACAGGTTTCAGAGGAACAGCCGTGTTAGTCTGTATTCGCAAAAAGAAAAGGAGGACTTGTGGCACCTTAGAGACTAACCAATTTATTTGAGCATGAGCTTTCGTGAGCTACAGCTCACTTCATCAGATGTATCTGATGAAGTGAGCTGTAGCTCACGAAAGCTCATGCTCAAATAAATTGGTTAGTCTCTAAGGTGCCACAAGTCCTCCTTTTCTGTTAGCAGAACCGGTCCCTCTGGGATTCGGTTCCCATCTCTGTAGAATATTGAGCTTTATTGACATGCAACATTATAGGGATTAAAAAGAAAAAAAAGTGCAGGAAGGATTTCTAGAGAAGAACAAACTTTAATTGCAAAAATAAACACAGCTTTGTAATATTCCTGATAGGTTCAGTTTGTTTTACAAAGAGGAAAATATTTACATGGGGGGGAGTGACGACCCCCCCCCCCCAAAGCCATAGTTATGTACAAAATATTATAAACCAGAGTTGGTCAAATAATAACACCTGTCTTCAGTTATTCACGCGTCAGTCGGTCATGTTGATCGCATCCATTTTGGTTTTTTCCAACAGTCATTCCTGGTGCAGTTTCGACATTAGACCCTGTCTTACGATGGCTTGTTCAGGGGAGTTCGTTTAAAGTGCTTGGCAAGCTAAATCGGATTCAGTTTATTAAAAAGGCAGCCCTGACAAATGCAGCTTGTTCTTCGCCTCAAGCGTGGGCGGGATTTCTTGATGCACGTTTCTCTCTCTCTTTGAAACCGAAGTCGAAGCCGCAGTTTGCAAGCGTCCCTTGGCCCCGCGCCGCTCCCCAGCTAGCTGGAGCTGTCCGCGCCGCGTGGTGCTGAAACAGCGCGTCTGCCGGTAGCGCGGATTATTCCTCCTTCACCCCCGAGACCCCTCGGCTTGCTCCGGCAGGGACTGTTTACATAGGATTGTGCATGGCCCCTGGGGCCCATCGTGACAGGGGTGGTGCCTTTCACTTATGTACATCCAAAGCGCCTTCTCTCCCGGCCAGAAGGACTCGCCAGAGGAAGCGATCCCTGCCCACCACCAATTGTCACGATCTTTGCCACTGGCTCCCGGGAGCCATGTGGAGGTGGACTCTCCAGCCCGATCCCTTCAGCCAGGGGCGGCCGGGCTCACCCCAGAAAACGACATCAACCAGGGCTCCCCGTTGGGCTTTAGAGTGTCCCGAATGACAGCCCCACCGCATAGAAGCCGAGGCCTTTGAGCTTCTCCTCGGTCCTTGCTTTCTGCTTCAGGTGGACCTTGCTGTGTCTCTTCTTCTCGTCGCTCCTGGCAAACCGGCGGCCACAGATGTCACAGGAGAAGGGCTTCTCCCCGGTGTGCGTCCGGATGTGGGTGGTGAGGTGGTCGCTGCGGCTGAAGTTCCGCAGGCAGATGCGGCACTGGAAAGGCTTGTGGCCGGTGTGGATCCGGAGGTGCCGGTTGAGCTCGTCCGACCTGGCGAAGCTCCTGATGCAGGTCTCCACGGGGCAGGCGAAGGATTTCTCGTGGGGCTTAGGGCAGAAGCATTTGGAGGAGCATTTGTTCTTGCGGGTTCTCTTCTTTGGCTCGGGTAGGATGTTGGGGTTGGTGGAGATTAAAGCGTTGGCTGAGGAGGTGGAAGGATGGGCCAGGAAGTCTGCGGTGGGGACTGACGGGGCATGGTGGGGGTGGAGGAGCTCGGTTGGATTCATTAAGCTTGGAACGGCCTCAGGTTGAGCCAAGGAGGATTCGAACTCGTGCATTAACTGCGGTGGGAGGTTGTGGATCTTTGCCTCCCCGAAGTCGCCGGGGATTTGCCCCTGGCTGCCGAGATTCTGGAAACTTTCGGGCTCGCAACCGGAACCTAAGTTGTTGCTGAAGGGGGCTTCAGACAGGCTGTTGAGCTCTGCCCGGCAGCTGACGGACAAGGCGTTTTCGATTTTGGAGCCGAGGGGGTGGAACATGGCCTGGCTACTTTCCGGGGGCTGGAAGGACTCAGAGGACGGGTAGCCATCTGGCAAGTAGTTCTGAGGTTGAGCGAGTGGCTCCCATGGGGAGCAGGAAACCTTAAACTTGTCCAGAGATGGAGCCATGGGGAGAATCTTAATGTCCTGCTTGTTTTCCAACAGTTTTGCCTCAAAGAGACACTGCGAGGAGCTTCCTAAACTCGGGGAGGTTTGGACTTGGGGCGCATTCTCCAGGGTGGGGAAGCCGGGGTAGCCCTGCTCAGCGAAGGGGGGCTGGACAGAGATATTCAGTTCCGGCTGGCAGCTGGAGTAAAGGTCCAAGTGGTTCTGAATGGCTTCTGGGACCGAGTAAAGAGAGTCCAGTTGTCTTTGGTGGCCTTCGGAGCCAGGGAAAGGAGAAAGGCCCAGGATGCCCGACATCAAGTTGAAGAGGGATTCCTGGTCGTGGGGCTGCTCCGGCATGGCCTTGATGAAAAAGCTGCCCGTGTAGCCGAGCGAGGGGACTGGCTGGCCGCCGAGGAAGAAGTAATCTGCAGCCTCACCGTTTATTGTGGACCCCATGAAGTCACCTGGGAATTAAAAGCGGGGAGGAAAGACGGTTATAGACCCCGCTTGGCTCGGGGGCGGGGGGTACAGAACGGGCTGCCTAAATAGCGACGCCAGAGCGGGACCTGCAGAAACTCACCGCTCAGCTATGGAGCACCCCGGGGTTATGTAACACCTCTCTGCCCCGCACGCGCGGCTTTTCTTCTAAAGACGAGGTGCCCCGGGACAGCGACTTGCCCCCAGCCCGATTCCCACCCTCCCAGGCCTGGGTCAGCTTTGGATCCACGACCAAGGGCCACCTTCTCTCCGCGAAGAGCCCTAGTCCTCTTTCAAAGCCAGAGGCTCCTTTGCAGGCTTGGAAGCCGGACCCCTCCCTTTCCCCCGGCTCCTGCTTGGCTACAGGTTGAAGGCATCAGCCTGTGGGTGGGGGTCTCTCTTACCTCCGGGGAAATCGGCCGCCGCCTCTGGCTGCTGCCCCGCCAGAAGTTGCTGCTCCTGCGGGCCCGAGCCCGGCTGCTCTCCGGCTTTCAGCTCGCAGCTCTCCTGGTACTTGCAGTAGAGCGGGTCCTGGCAGGAGAAATCCATCACGCCCAACATCTCCGGCGAGCCCAGGCTCGGGGGCGGACGGGAAAGTCCCCGACGCGGCAGCCCCTCTGCCCCGCTCCCCAGCGCTGCTCCAGCCCCTGCGGCGCCCGTCCCAGGCCAGTGCCCGGCGGCCTCGGGGCATGGGCGCTCCGCCTGCTGCGCCGGGCTCGGCGGGTCCTCCCGGCTGCCAGCGCCGCGGCCGCTTTTATACCTGCAGCGGGGCTGGCTCGGCTCTTCCGCCGCGCCGCGCCGCTTCCTTTTCTGGAGTCCCCGGCCAGGCGGGCGGTGACGTAAATGCCCATAGATGGACTCAGGATGTAGGCTAGGGAGCCCCAATAAGGAAATCTCTCCCTGTGACGTGTTGCCATCCCTTCTCTCCCCCCCCCTTCCCTTTCCCTTTCCCCAATAACAATAACACCCAGCAGCAGCCGGGGCGCTGCGGGTCAGGGAGAGCCAGCCGCCCCAAAGGCTGCCAATTCTGCTCAGCTGATCGGGGCTTGCCGCCCCAGGAGGGGAAAGGGGAGAGCCCAAGAGGCTGGAGGCAGCTTGCCAGCCTCCCCCCGGCCCCTGGAGGACGGGCACGTGAGTGGCAGGGGGGCACCGGGCGAATTCTTCCCCCAGCTGGAACAGCTGGAGCTGGGTTTCCTGATGGAGGCGCCTCTTAAGGCTGCTGTGGCGGGGAGGGGGGGATCCCAGCTTGGCTTTCAGCTTATTCAGCTGGAGAGAGAGGGAAATGTAGGCCAGGCAGCTATAGATGTGAATCATGGCTCAGCCCAGTGGGTGTATTTATGTATGGAGATAACCGAAGTGAGGTATTTGTATATTTATACCCACACAGTTAGAGCTTTCATACAATCATAGAACATCAGGGTTGGAAGGGACCTCAGGAGGTCATCTAGTCCAGCCCCCTGCTCAAAGCAGGACCAATCCCCAACTAAATCATAGCCACACCTCCCATGGCATCTTTCAGTCACACGAAGTGCACATGGAACTAACCACCTATTTCCTGCACACACTGTCCGTGCATTCACAAACACGCGTGTTCCCAGCGGTACACGCACACAAAGGGGGTGCCATGCTTAGGGTTTGATGCTCAACACCCACTGAGTAAAGGGCTCAGCGCCTCTCAGGCTCAGGCCCTGAGGGAATAGACTTTCCACTGTATAATTATGCAATTCCTTAAACGCTTTGACTTTCCTCCCAATGTGGGGAGCTGTTATTCCAGATTTACATCACCCCAGGCTCCCATTCACCTTATGCTATTTTCCCCCTGCCATGTGTATGTATTTTGTTGCTCTTGTTTCTTCTAGAAGCATGAAAGACGTTGGGTTTGTTATTCCCTGCCCCCATTTCTAAGGGGGATTTTTACATTTAACTAAGCCTCTGCAGGCATTCTGCATTTGCTTTGCAGAGGGATTGTGCCTGTTGTATAGTCATTTGATTAACAGCTAACAAGCAGATACCCAATGAACAAAAACATCTCAATCATTTCCCCTTACTGGCTTTCATTCCCCAGCACAGCAAAGAGTACATTGCTTCCCCCCTGCCTGGTTTGAAGTATGTGTGTATTTGGGTCAGGGAGCATTTGGATCCAGATGCACAATCAGAATATACAATGGAAGAAGGATAGTTTAAAATAGAATCACTGGGTCTAGGTCAGAGGTTCTCAAACTGGGGGTCGTGAGGTTATTACATGGGGGGTCACGAGCTGTCAGCCTCCACCCCAAACCCCGCCTTGCCTCCAGCATTTATAATGGTGTTAAATATATTTACAAGTGTTTTTAATTTATAAGGGGGGTTGCACTCAGAGGCTTGCGATGCGAGGGGTCACCAGTACAAGTCTGAGAACCACAGTGACTCAAAGAGCCTGATGGCATTTCCATCACCTCTGGCTTCCTCTCAGCCACAGAGGAGGCCAGGCTCAGCAGCATTGCTGTTTATCTGGGGTACTTTTAGGGCCCTCCTTACTGTAGTAGCTGAGCTGTTCACAATCCGTAATGTATTTAACCTCATAACACAGAGAAATGCTTTAGCTCCATTTTACAGATGGGGAAGTAGAGCAACTAGTCCAAGGTCATACAGCCAAGAGCAGAGCAGGGACTTGGACTAAGGGCTAACACAGCTTGGGCAGATGCCCTATGCCTAACCACTGAGCTATCAGTCCTCTCTTCAGAGCACTGTGTCCTCTAACCCTGAAGAGTTTTCCACCTGAAGAGAAAGAAGAAGACAGGGTGTGGCGTTTAATTCCACCAGTGGCATTAGATTATTAAAGGAGCCCATACAGTAATAATAATAATTAATTAATACTTAGCACTTATTTTCCTCTTGATCCTGCAAATCCTTGTGCATGCAGCAGGTTGTGCAAGGTTATTGCACTCCAGTGGAAGTCTAAACAATAGGAACAGCTTGGTACAAATAAGGTGAAATATTAGGTTTAAATCCCTGGCATTGATCTTTAGCATATGACAGGCTCCCTGCCTGCTGTCTCCTTCACTCACCAGGTGTGAGATAGGATTCTGCCTGGAGCTAGGCAGCCAGTAACGCCGAGGTCCCTTTTGCATTTCCTATCTTGCTCATATACCTTGCATTGCTCTGCATCTGCCCAGCACAGGATCACATCCAGCCTCTCTGAGATGTTGTGTGCAGGATCCAACCCTAAGATCCAACCTCTTCCCTGCTCACACCCATCACAGCTTTTGTGTGACAGCAGGGTTCTGTGCAGGGCTGAGATTCTCTCACCAAGCTCTGGTGTTTTACTGTGCCACTTCCCAGGCAGATGTGCCAGATACCCGGGGCAGTGCAGTGCGGGCATTCGGCCACACTCGCCACATACTGAGCGGGTTAAAAAAAAGCCAGTGGAATTTTTTAAGCAACCAAATTTTAAAAGAAGAAGATAAGAACGGCCCTAGTGGGTCAGACCAAAGGTCTATCTAGCCCAGTACCCTGTCTTCCGACAGCGGCCAATGCCAGGTGCCTCAAAATGATAATGCATAATGATTTATCTTTATAGAGCATAATAACAATAATAATAATCCTGAGATTTTCATCAGTGGATCTCAGATCACTTGAAAAAAGAAGTGCATATTGTTATCCCCATTTTATAAATGAGGAAACTGAGGCACGGAGTGGTGAGGTGAATACACCCGACAAGCCAATGTCAGAGCAAGTTTTCTGGGAGAGGAAGTCCCTACCTGTGCTTGATGTCTGCAGCATGTGCCATAACCAGCATTTCAGATTGAGCCATATCTAGTGCAATGAACTGACGTTATCTGCAGGGTGAAGTAGTGTTGAAATAAATTAAATTAATTAACCAAATGAAATTAATAGGTAGCAGGTTTTAAACAAACACAAGATAGAATTTTTTCACTCAACGCACTCCTTGCCAGAGGGTATTGTGAAGGCCAGTACTATAACGGGGTTCAAAAGGGAGCTAGATAGATTCATGGAAGATAGATCTATCAATGGCTATGAGCCAGGATGGGCAGGGATGATGTCCCTAGCCTCTATTTGCCAGAAGCTGGGATTGAGTGACAGGGTATGGATCACTTGATGATAGCCTGTCTGTTCATTCCCTTTGGGGCACCTGGCATTGGCCACTGTCAGAAGACAGGATACTGGGCTAGATGGACCTTTGGTCTGACCCAGTCTGGCCATTCTTATGTTCTTATGTTGTAGAATGGTAGTGCTGGGTGATTGGAAACCAAGGCTCCTATGTGCTATTCCTGGCTCTTCCAGTGACTCACAGTGTTACCCTTGGGCAAGTACTTTTAAATGTGTCTGATTGCACTTACTCACTTTGCAGGGAGGTTGGTAATGTTCATATTTGTAAAGCACATCGAGCTCTTTGGCTGAAAGCTGCTATAAAAGTGCAAAGAAGTGTGACGTTCGAGTGGTCATCCAGCAGGCACTTGGGCCTAATTCTGGATCAATTCTCCAGCCTGGTGTTAGAGGGCAAGGTGCTGGAGGAGGTAACATTTTAAATGAGATGTAACAGGAAAGTCCCAACCACTTGTGGCCATTTATATTCACACATGTAAGGCAGTTAGCTGCAGAGGCATGGCCAATATTCTGCATTCTTAATTGTGCCCACTGCATTTACAGCTGTGCATGGCATTCTTCATCACTTCCTCTACTAAAACTGCTGCTTAGTGTTGCATCACACTGTTATACAGCTGCCATTTTCCACCCTAGAGGTGGTGAGTTCAGTGATTTCTTCTTGCTCTGTAAAAGCTACATAATCATAGAATCATAGAATAATCAGGGTTGGAAGAGACCTCAGGAGGTCATCTAGTCCAACCCCCTGCTCAAAGCAGGACCAACCCCAAATAAATCATCCCAGCCAGGGTTTTGTCAAGCCAGGCCTTAAAAACCTCTAAGGATAGAGATTCCACCACTTCTCTAGGTAACCCATTCCAGTACTTCACTACCCTCCTAGTGAAATAGTTTTTCCTAATATCCAACCTAGACCTCCCTCACTGCAACTTGAGACCATTGCTCCTTGTTCTGTCATCTGCCACCACTGAGAACAGCCGAGCTCCATCCTCTTTGGAACTCCCCTTTCAGGTAGTTGAAGGCTGCTATCAAATCCCCCCTCACTCTTCTCTTCTGCAGACTAAACAATCCCAGTTCCCTCAGCTTCTGCTCGTAAGTCATGTGCCCCAGCCCCCTAATCATTTTCGTTGCCCTCCACTGGACTCTCTCCAATTTGTCCACATCCTTTCTGTAGTGGGGGGCCCAAAACTGGACGCAGTACTCCAGATGAGGCCTCACCATCTGCCGAATAGAGGGTAACAATCACATCCCTTGATCTGCTGGCAATGTTCCTACTAATGCAGCCCAATATGCCGTTGGCCTTCTTGGCAACAAGGGCACGCTGCTGTTTCATATCCAGCTTCTCGTCCACTGTAATCCCCAGGTCCTTTTCTGCAGAACTGCTGCTTAGCCAGTTGGTCCCCAGCCTGTAGCCGTGTATGGGATTCTTCTGTCCTAAGTGCAGGACTCTGCACTTGTCCTTGTTGAACTTCATCAGAGTTCTTTTGTCTAGGTCACTCTGGATCCTAACCCTGCAATCCAGCATATCTACCTCTCCCCCCATCTTAGTGTCATCCGTGAACTTGCTGAGGGTGCAATCCATCCCGTCAT